CACTATGAATAAAGTTCATTAAACATAGATCCTCAGTACATAAAAGTCGGGATAAAATGTGTTTGGAAATCAATGTGTTGACAACTTAAAATATAGAGAAACGCATACATATTCACTCACACATCCAAGAATGTGGTGAGATAAACCAGACAGAATTGAAGAGGGTATTATTAATTTGGAAACTGCTATGACAACCAAGCAATAGAGGTAATAACCATGTTAAAAGGTGAAATCCATAAAGAACTGATCCAAGAAACTAAAAAATATTGACGAGCCCCTCAGCTAGGAAGAACATGAAAAATGAAGAAGAAATTGAAAAGTCACCTTAAAATTCCGAGAGAGTAAAACCAAAATAAGCTCAGGTCAAAAGTCCAAAGTACTGAGCAAGGAAGCAATAGAACGCTTTAAACAAACTAAAAACAAAACAAAAAAATACTTGTGAGTTCCCTTGACAGAGGACAGCCTGGCATCAAACTTTTAACTAGGACAATCCTGAGGGAATAAAATGTCATTAAAGAAAACAAACAACATATTAAAAAAGCAGCCATCCTAAGCAAAACGTTTGCAATGAAACAAATGCAGATTGTATCTAAACACGTTAAAAGATTCGCCTTTCTCTTCAAATTCTTTTCTTTGACAGTGAATTATTTTTAAAAATTGCATTGTGAATATGGTACTAGGTTACCTAAGAGCATTTTCACACCAATAGTTATTGTATGCTGAGCAAAAGGGAAAATAGGAAAAAAGGAAAGGAACAAAAATGTGAAAAGAATTTTTTCACTCAGCATAAAATGCAAGTGGTTAAAACAATGAAAATTATTCATTGATTTGTAATTTCTCTTAAGTATGAAGGAGAGAAGTTTTTAGACCTAGAAACTGGGATGTCCAGGGGTCCGCTCTTCACCTTGAATGAGGCCACCTTGGATCATAACACCATGATGGCTTCCGATGGTGGAGGACAAAGCAGCTATTTTGAAAAGGCAGAGGGTGTTGTTTATTTTTAATAAGCTGAAACTTTTAGGCCGGGTGGTGGTGGCACACACCATTAATCCCAGCACTTGTGAGGCAGAGGCAGGTGGCTCTCTATGAGTTTGAGGCCAGCCTGGTTTACAGAGTGAGTTCAGGACAGCCAGGACTGTTTCTCAGAGAAACTCTGTCTCAGAAAGCAAAACAAAACAACAAACTGAAACTTTAATACATATAAAACAATACAGGGTAAATTTAAAAAAAATGTGTCAATATTAGGTGTAAATTATTCTAATATATGAAGTGTTATTGGGTATTAAAATATCAACATTTCATTCATGTTAGTCTCATATAAAATATTAGGCAAAATTGACAGAGGAAGGAGTTATTAAAAATAAACAAAATTTGAAACATTAGTAGGGTAATCTTGAGAACATTTTGGTAGCTGTGTCCTTGACTATTTCCAAGTGTGATCTCAGCCGTGAGTGACCCAGAGAAGCCTTGCTGAGCCGAGCGGAAAGCCAAGCCAATGTCCCCTGCTGCGGGAGCCCTTCTGTTATTCAGTCCAGTTCTGGAATGGGAGCAGATCAGACTCCACATTGCATGGTGAGCACCGTCACCTTCAGATGCCTCTCTCTGCCATCTGGGAAGAGGTGTTCTCAACGGCCCCAGGTTTGTCCTGGAAGCAGTGACAACAGCAATGTCATCCCCAGGAAACTGTTGAGCTTTTGAGTCATCTTTGACTTAGTTATTGAAGATAGAAGGAATTTCCTCTGAAGTATGAGTGTCAGCATTTTCAGCATCACTGATGCCACCCCCTGAAGTTGTTAGGGACTGACTATCTTTGCAAGAGACACAAGGACTCCAGCATTTGCAACATGAGGGGGCCTGCTTGTTGGGGTTTCTGTCCCTCCCGGTGCCCCAACAAGCTGGCAAGCCCCAAAGAGCGTGGTCTCTCAGCAGCTATTGGCTGAAGGAGTGGAAGGAGCTCCCGCAGCAAGCATTCATGGGAGCCAAGTTGGCTTGGAGCCATCACAGTTTGCAGACCATTGCCCAGTATGAAGTCATGAAATTAGGGATTCTGGATTTAGGATTCTGTATTCCTCTGCTTCCTAGAGAATCTGGAGTTCCCTCTAAAGTTCATAACCTCTTTAAGAATGGACCTAGAAATGGACTCAAGGACAATTATATCACAGTTTGAGAGAAAAACACAACAGGATGCACAGGCTGTAAACATTAGCAGCTGCTGTGTGAGACAGAAGGAGAACGCCAGGACTATTGGAGTTCCGGTTCAAGATAGTTGGCGTGTTCAGCAATGGAGATCTGGAAGGCAGCTGCAGATGGAAGAGGAGTGGGGATTCCGAGAGAGCGAGGAAGCCCAGAGTGTGAGAGAAAGCGTTAGTCTGGCCACTATCCAAGCTAAGATATAAAGAGAAGGAAATGGAAAACAAGCTTTGTGACAGGCTGCCATCTGATAAGAGGGCACCGGGGTCTTGTGTCCTAGAGCTGAACACTACCCCAGGTTACCACGCGTGGTTAGAAACAGAGGCGTGTCATGAAAGAGAAGAAGTCCTGAGAGTGGGGGTGCCTTGGTGAGCTGAGAAGAGGAGCCCAACCACTGAGGTCCTGAGTGCACAGCCCTTTGTCTGACATTTTCACAGCACCCATCCTGGAGAGCGCCTCTGTGTGTCTTGCGACATGAAGCTCGGGAGAGGAAAGGTTTCCAGTCTTAGAAGAGCCAGGAATTAGGCTTACAAAAGTCGGCCGTTGAACCTTGTCTCGTTTCCATAACGCCCTAAGGATGTGAGTCAGGCTTCCAGCCCAGCTGCACGTAATTGCTGACTGGAGGCAGAGGACTCTGTGCACGTGTCTGTGTCTGTGTGTATATGTGTCTCTGTGCTGTCTCTCCCCCTCTTTCTGTGTCTCTCTCTGCCTTTCTCGGTGTCTGTGTGTGTGTTGCTGTCTCTCTCCCTCTCTCTGTCTCTTTCTGTGCATCTCCGTGCCTCTCTCTCTCTCTCTCTCTCTCTCTCTCTCTCTCTCTCTCTGTCTGTCTCTCTCTGACTCTCTGTGTCACTGTGTATTTCTGTCTGTCTGTCTCTCTGTCTGCCTTTCTTTCTCTGTCTCTCTACATACACACTATCCCCTATTTGAATACAAGTGGTTGAAACTGCTGAGAGACTGAGGGCTGATATAAGAACGTCCTTCTTAATATCACATTTATCACAAATTACTTCCAAGCTAAAAGACGATTTACTGCCAGCTTGTGACCCGGTTCAAGTGAAGCAATGCAGTAAATAGATTTGGACCTTGAGGGAGGACAGCGTCAAAGGCAGAGCACAGCTTGATGTCACCCGAGACCCTTCAACCCCACCTCTCATTCCCCCACAAGTTAAGAAAACAGGGCTTCCCGAGGCCCACCAGCCTGCCACATAGGCCAGTTAGGACTAGACATCCAAAGCCTACCCGAACGACAACAAACCCTGGATCTGTTTCCTAAACACATGGGCAAGAGTGGTTGATCTGAAGGTCAGCAGTGTTTCATAACCACACACTAAAAAAAGATACCAGCAGGGGAGTTTGGAGACAGGGTCTTGCTATGGTGTCCTGACATAAAACATCATGCCCATCTTAAGATAAAATTTAAAGACAATGTTCTTTATATGACCTGTGATCAATGGCTTTTAAATAGTGGAAACAGAACACATTTATAATTGAGGAAAAATGTGGGATTTGGCCTAGAAGCCCCAAATTACCCAGCTGATTGTGGCAAGGTGATGAAATCTTCTAGACTTAGGGATGTCTTATTTCAGCTGCTGAACTGCAGCAAATGAAGTTCCAAATCTATGCTGTGAAGAAACCCCAGTCACAGGACAGCTCTTGCGATCTCTCTGGTGACTTGTCTGGACACCTCTCCTCTGTTATTGACTAGCGTCACTAATGGAAGTTGATGTCACTTTAACACCTGAAGTCTTGGCGGAATTTAGCCATGCCAGTCTCCTAGAGAATGGTAGCTTTTGTCAAGGCCATGCTGAGATTGGCTGAAATCTCTACTGTGATGATATACTGACGTCGCTAGGTTTCCCATCTTCCGCGATCTCAGGGCTGTGAAGTTAAGGGTAACCAGTATCTAAGTTCTTATATCACCGTTTGGCCTTGAGCACTCCACAAAAGGGCCTGTGTTCTAGAACTGATCAGCAACTAATGCAATCTCAAAGAAACTGGAACATATCGAGTGCATTCTACTTCAGAGAAAATTGCCTGTCCTCGTTCACTTCCTCCCAGCTTAGCTGTCTAGTAGGTTCATAGTAGTTGATAGACATCAGTTTATCTGGCTCCTGACTTTGGGCCTTAGGATGCAATCAGTATAGCAATACTTTACAAAACTATAAGATTAAACTTGCTTGCTGCTGAATGCCTATTTTCTTTTTTAACATTGGGTGCTTATTCATTCATAATTCCATGTTATTTCCATATATGTTTCACAAAATGTAGTTCCAGAAATTCCTTGATGGATGGGAGTAATATGGATAGTATTTTTACCCTTGTTGAAAAAAACCTTTTGATAGTGGGACACCCAGTGCAACCCCAATTCTTACTTTTCTGGGGGCTCACAGAGCATCTTACCTAAGGTGGAAGTTAGCCTGTGGGAATGAACACTGACCCAGGAACGAAACTGGACTCTGTGCCCCACCTGCTGCCCCATGTGTGACAATTGTTCCGACCCTGACAAAGAAGGGAAGCTTTAGAAGTCCCGGTGCCAGCTTGACATACATGGGCGCTTGGCACGTAATTCCAGCCACCATCCAGCCCTGTTCAGTGAAACACACATGAGAATGAAAGCCAGTGTCTACGTAGAAAACCCCAGGATGAGCTGACCATTCCCAGGGCCTGAAAAGGGAGATCAAAACAGTCTTTTCCCTAAATCTCCAATTCCTGTGTTCTCTTGCTCTTGGGAGTTTACTCTATATAGAAAGAGGTCTGTTTTCTTGAAGGTCCCTATTCCCGAGACGCTAAATAATGGAATATTTATGTACCTGTCTGGAGAGAGACATCCGGTACCTTGGTAGATGTGTGTTTAAGAACAGCAAAAGCATGCTTGCTGAGCCTGGAAGGGAGAACAGACTGTTGCGGGCTGCCGACATGGCAGCTGTTCGTACCTCCTGAGAAGGGTGTGGTGTTCTAAGAAACGAATAGGAATTTGGAGACTCCCCAGATCCAAGTCATAAACAGTTGGGGTTCCAATTCAAACCAGAAAGAGAGAAGGGGCTATTTGTAATCCTGCTTTTTGTATCATTTCATTTTTCAGTTTAATAAGATCCATATGGAAGCCAACGCACAAAGCAACAAGGAGATTTTTTAAAAACAAACCTATATCCCAAAGCCATCTGCCATCCGCTGGATTTATGAAAGCCGCTGTTTCCAAACGCTGCAGCCGAGGTTCGGGCAGCTCTGTGTTGCTTCCATTGCTCCTGTTTAGTTTAGAAATACGCTCTGGGCCAACGCGATTGTCTTCCATACAAATGGAAGACTTGAAAGAGACCCGCCGGCCATGATTTCCTTTAAGTTCTCAGGCAACACAAACAAATGAAAAAGCGAAGCGCTGGCATTTGCAGGAGGAGTCCTTATAGGGGGTCCCTGGCATCCTTGCATGTGCGTGTCTACGGCCTAAAAGTGACTTCTGATTCACAGTTCAGTCTCCCCCTTCAGGGAAAGCGACGATAAAAACTCGAGGCTGTCTCTCTTGTAACCAACACTCTTTCTGTCTTAGACATTAGCTCTGTCTCTCACCAATTAAGCCTTTACTTTTTGGTTCAGGATTTGGGCAGATAAGGATTCTGAGAGGTGCCCGAGAGGAATCTGGTCTCTGGCTAATGTGGCCGGCCCTACCACCATCATAATCCTCTGTGGAAGTCCTTTGATGGGGAATGGTTCGATTTAATTAGGATGGATTTTGCCTAACATAACTTCTGCTCAATTTATTTTTCTTCTTTCTTCCTTGCTTCGCTAAAAGGAAAGCTAATTCATCTGGAGGTTTCTTTTCTGGGCCGGTCTCCGCCCGTTTATGCAAATCGGTCTTCCTTTAGTCTTTTTTCCTTTTTTCAAATTTTTTTCAAAAAAGGATGAAACATATCATGCTGAGAAAAAAAAAAACTTTACAAAGCATCTCCAAGAATCTGACAGTTTTGGTCCAAGTTTCTAATTATGTTTCAAAATCTTAGGACAGTTTTTCCCCTTTTTATCTCAATCTTTCATTGGAGATCTCGGTACCTCTATCTTTGCTTGAGCAGCAGATTTAAAATGTCAACTCCAGTGAATTCCGTCTTAAGTAAAGGATTCTAACTTAATACAGAGTCTTTCAGATCTTTCCATCTTTCCACCCAGACTATGGCTCTCTCTTGACCGACTCTAGATGCCTGTCATTCTTCCCCCTGGCTCATCATGCGGCTGTTGACCTCCCAGGACTCTTCCAACTCCTATTACCCTTCAGCCAGCTGAAATTCAGAGGTCATCGGGACTTTGTCCAATTGTTAACATTGGCTGCTGTTGTGTATTTATTGCATACAAAGCAAATACACTCAAATATACTGTCATCAATAGACCAAATACACCATCGACAACAAACCAAATACACCATCACCCTTAGACCAATATACTAGCAGCACCAGGCCAAATACACCATCAACAACAGACCAAACACACCATCACATCAACAGACCTTTACTGACTCCAGCTGAGCGTTTCAAAATTTAAAAGGGGCCCAGCTCAAAGCAGTGCACCCTTCTAAAATGCATACCATTTTCTCACATGCAATTTGTTCCCTAGGTCTTTGGCTAGCCATAGGATAACACATTTCTAGCCCCCTCCACACATGAAGAAGACAAGGAAGACCAAGGTTGGAAAATGTGAGAACAAAATAGCGTAGTAAACCAAATGACCAATGTCCAAGACGTGAGAGAATCGCCAGGGGAAATAAAAAAAAAAGGCAGTCGATTCTCTGACACAAAAGGCCCAAAGATATTGAGAACAGGCTATGTTGGAGACTCACTCACCAAGGCTGGACGGTGAGAGGGAGGTGAACGAGAAACAGGCTCCCAGCTGGTCCCATAAGACGTTGACACCCTGTTTTGGCTGTGCTTGCAAAGTCTGCACGTGGTCAATAAGTTCCTTCTTTTTCTACCTGTTCTATCAAACGACAAACTTGCAGGGCTTGTTCTTCCGTGTGCTGTAGGATGGAGCTACCGAGAGACTCCAAGAAGCTGAGGAAACACCCTTGTTTGGAAGAGGTCTTGAGGAAGAGTGCATCAGAGAGTCGATGAGAAGAACAGGGAGGATGAGGTAGCCAAAGAGTACACCTCTGATATTAATTTTTATGCTAAAAGAAAAATAGGCACCTGCCGATCCGAGGGGCTCTTCCTGAGAAACGACTCTTTCCTTTCCTAGGTGCTTTTGTGTGGCCTCTGTCCCATGTGTGTCATTATTTTTCATAATTGGAACACTTGCCAGTGTTTTTTTGGCCGGAGGTGATATAAATGGCTTGCTCTCTGGATTCTCTTGTGGTCTTGGGACCAAGTCCACTTCCCTTTGCGGCGTACACACATGAAATGCACTGTTGATTGACAGCATGATTCACTTTACAAATATTTATTCTGTGTACTTCAGAAATGTTCTCTGAGAAAAATCAAGCAGGCCAGAGCTAGCCGATGTTCCTCTATCTCCTTCCCTTCCCGTGCAGGGCTGTCCGTGCAACCCCGGTGTCCTGGAGTAGTTACTTTTCTATAGTTGTGGTAAAATATGACCACACGACTTATAAAAGAAATCGTTTAATTCAGACTACAGTTGTAGAGGACTTAGAGTCTGCAATGGTGGAGTGGGGGCAAGGCAACAGGAACAGCTGGGAGCTCACTCCTCAGTCTGCATGCAGGAGACAGAGAGCACACTGGGATGGTGGGAATAGTTTGAGACCTCAAAGCCTACCCTAGTGACACCTCCACATCCATGCCTCCTGGGGGCCAGTGTCATTCAAACCAGCACACGTCTGTATAGAAGACAGAAATGAGCCAGAGCCCTTGCCACTTAGCTGCCTCAATCTCTGTTGGAGGTATGATTCTAGAGAGAGGGCCTCATGTTTATTGGAGGTGTGATTCCAGAGGTAGTGGGCCTCATGTCTATTGGAGGTGTGATTCTAGAAATGGAATTTTGGGTCTGTTGGAGGTACAATTCTAGAGATGGGATCTCAGGTCTATTGGAGGTGTGACTGTAGAGACAGGGTCTCATGTCTATTGGAGGTGTGATTCTAGAGACGGGATCTCAGGTCTATTGGAGGTGTGACTATAGAGACAGGGTCTCATGTCTATTGGAGGTGTGATTCTAGAGACAGCATCTCGTATCTATTGGAGGTGGGATTCCAGAGGTCTCGGGGTTATTGCTGTGATCTTATGTCCCCCTGTGCTGATACCCCATTCTTCCTTCAAAGTTAAAACTGTTCCTCTTTGAAAAGAAAAAGAAAAAAAAAAGAATTGAAAAATATGTTTGGGACATATATGTTCTTCAGAGCTGAATTGGGTCAAAAGCTGAGAAAGGACTCAAGCAAGAGTCCTCTGTCTCCGGCAAAGCTCAAACCACACCTTCTATGAACACAGTGTAGCAAAGGCTGGGCCCCATAGAGCTGTGACCTTGCCATTCCTGTATACAGCAGTGCATTGAATTCTCTCAGGGACTCTGTAGGATGCTCTCATCACCAGCCTGGCTTTGCAGCTGAGGAAGCTGGGCATTTCTAAGATAAAACCCCAAGCCAGCCCTGTTAATGGTAGAGCTCCGAATTCAAAACAAACAGTGAGGTATCAGCACCCTTGGCTGCTGGTTAGCCTTGCGGGAGATTGGACACTGTCCATCGCTTTACGCTCTTGCTGGTTGGCTGGACAGCAGCGGGCATTTCTTTTTCTTTCTTCTTTTTTAACCACTATCCCAATAATGTCCCTGAACTGTCCTACTGGTGTGACAACTGGAGAACAGAAAGAGGGAAGGAGACAGAACTGGGGCACAGCATAAGGCACTGGGAGTGGGAGCTAGGATCTGCAGAACTTGGAAACAGTGGGGGTTGGGAGGATACTGCCAAGGGACCCAGCTGTGGGGGTCAGAGCTCTCTGATTTGGGCAGAATTCCTCAGGCCTGACTGGAGAGGAGAGGAAGCTTCCATCTGTTGGAAATGCTTCCACACAAATGCAAGCCTCTCAAATTTCCTCCTGGCTCCTCTAGTGTTTTCTTAGCACAGATGGCCAATTTGGGATGCTAAGAAAATATTATTTTCTTATGGGAGGACTTAGGTTCTTACTAAAAACTTTTGTTTTTTCTGTATGCACAAGAACATGAACATGCACAGCCTCTGGATCCACGGAAAGCTCCTCTCACACACGTGTGAAATTAAGATGATCACGCATGGTCCATGGGTGTTTGGATTCGTTTTCTCGCTATCTGGAAGGCACTGGGAGAGTGAGTTACTTCATTACAGGACATAACAGCCTCAAGCCATACAACAAAGACGTTGGAATAAGAGAGAAAACACCACCCACAGTTTCAAGTTACCAATATGAATTCTCTCATTCTTCTAGCCCTGTGCCTTCCCAGCTGCTTTTCGTATGCACATTATCACAGTGGTCACATAATTTTGCACACCCCCTTTGATGCGCATGTGCTGTGACCCTGTTTTTGTGCCCGGTTCCAGTGTCATCATTTTAAACGGATTCAGATGCTGTTGAGCAGATACCGTAATCTTAGATATTCTGTAGTTATGTAGAAATGAAGTCGTGAGTTTGCAGGATTGTAAGCTACAAGGTGACTGTCATGGGTTGATAGTAAGCGCCAGGCTCTAAAAGCTTATGTTTCAAAATTTTTCACACTGTTGGGAGATAGTGAGGCCTCTAGGAGGACCTACTGACTCCAGGAGGAAGTCAGTTCATTGAGGGCGTACCCTGAAGGGACTGCTGGACTTTTTGTCCCTGTGCCCTTGAAGGGGCTGCTGGACTCTTTGTCCCTGTGCCCTTGAAGGGGCTGCTGGACTCTATGCCCCTGTGCCCTTGAAGCGGATGATGGACTCTGTCCCTGTGCCCTTAAAGGGGATGTTGGATTCTTTGCCCTTAAAGGGGATGTTGGACTCT